CCTCTCCTCTCCTCTCCTCTCCTCTCCTCTCCTCGGTTCTATTGCCCACCTTGTGCTGATTTATCTGGTCATAAGTTGATTAAATTTTCTCCATCTAACAGCATTTTCCTTGTTTAATCGAGTTAATTAAAGTCATGAGAGAGTGCAGGGAATGCACAGATTGAGAAGGTGCCATGCAACTGTAGGCAGGACTTATTTTGGTGGCAGTTTTCTTTTAGTTCTGCTGCTGGAAGTGCAGCCTCATGGCCCATTGTATCCTCTCCCATGCACTACTCCTTACCTGGAAAACCCAAATTGAATTTGGAGAAAATGCTGAGGTACAGTGGAAGAGTGAGGGGCAAAATGAAAAGTAAAAACAGATTGGAAAATTCTTTTATAAAGCCAAGGAATACTAGCATTACAATTGGAGACAAAACCCCCAAACTTGACAAAATAGAGTTTTCTATTACAGCTTTTACATTAGTATTTTTAACACACCTGTTATCTGTTTCTTCAACTTTTCAATTTCTTCTTTCAAACTTTTAATTTCTAAATCTTTGCTTGCCGTGATTGGGCCGTCCACTGTTGAATACTGCAGAGCCTGCACTGTCTGGGTAGACTCTAGAAAAAGATGGAAGAGAGAAAGACAAATAACACATCTGAGGAGATCAAAGAGATACTACTGATAAATTAAGACATGTCAAAAGATCCTGCACTGGGCATTCTGCAATTTGCAACTTCCAACTATTAAGTGACAACTTTTCAGTAATTGTCAGCTGGACACACTAAGTTCTTAGAAGTTTTAAGAATGAAACGTTTATGCCATTATGCCATAGTGACCAAGGTACAGTGAGAACAAAGCTAGCATAAGAAGTTGCATACATGGCGTATTTCAGACATAAAGAGTAACAGGAATTTGTGAACAGAAATAATGAAGAGAATTCCTTTCTGCTCGAAAGCATTCCAGAATGTATATTTAATTCTTTTTCCACAGCCTTACAAAACTGCAGGTTAATCTAAGTTTAAAAAGTGATGGAATGATTTTTTAAAAAGATTATACCTTGCAGTTTTCTGCTAAGTTCAAGCTTTTCTTGTTCTAGACGTCTTATTCTCCTCTCATAAGCTTCTGTTGCTAAACTATCCTCCAAAGTTCTTTGAATGCTGGCATCAAGATCCATGGAGGGTGGTCCAGCTGTCAGTCTTAGACAGCTGCGGTCTGAAAGCACACTGGGGGAAAAAAGTAAATAGTATTGGATTTTACAACAGCCTGTTTTAAAATAGTGCTATAAAAACATCAACCAATAAACAGTTTGTTTAAGTTGTTAATTACTATGCCATTTATTATAACATCAAAGAATACCTTGTTAGTATGTGCTCATTGGAAATTGAAATAATTTTTACCTAGCATGCCTGATCTCAATGCATTTTTGTTACACAGAAGTGCATGAACTCCTAATTAAAAATCATTACGGACAGTCTATAGCAAAGTTAGCAAAAAGCAACAACCTAGCCAGTAAGATAACAATAATAATTCATTTGAGAATAATTAATCAAGTATCACAAATGCTTTAAAGACAAGAATCACTAAAAAGGGTGCGAAATTATCCCATAACAACCAGGGCATGGACATGTCAGAAATGCTGTGGCTACACATGTACACATGCTACTACTTATGCAAATAATCCTTTTGAAGTCTAGGACATTCTAGGACATAGCCACATTCCCAGCAGAAACACAGGCCTGTTTTTTCAATGGTTGTAAACACTTTCTTTATTTTCATAAACAAGGAGCATACAAGGGACTTCCCTGTTTAGTTTAGCAACACAAATAGTGAAATAAATTCTACATTAATACCAGATATCAATTAAAGTAATTTTTACAGAGTTTCTATTCAGACTTACAGAAGTGTCAAAGGGCTAGAAATAAAACTGCTTTTAATGTCTAATAAACTAAGTCCTGCCAGGGTTCACACATCTAGTCTTAACTTTGTCGTATGCAGTTAATATTATACATTCTCTAATAACTACCTTTCTCATCAAAACTCCCCTGAGCACAGGTACTGACCTTTACATATATGTAAATTTTACCTGCACAGAACTCATTCTTTTGAACAGATGGCCTCTTAAGATTATGGTAATTTCCTCAATAAACCATATTCTTTGGAACATATTGAACAGATATCAAAGACAGAAAGTTAGAATACTGTGCAACTATCCTACAGACAATTTTAGAACTCTTAACTTACCAGCTACTTGTATATGTGAAACCCACAAATGGTAAATGATGGCCAGAAAATGCAGTGTGGGATGGTGGAGGCATTGTTTCCTAGGAAAATAACAGGACAGTTGAGTAAGCAGTGTCCTACTGGACTTAAAAGAAACAGATTTTCCAGTTTAACCATATGAGAAGTGTTAGTGATAGTATGATACGAACTATATTCACTGTCATCCTTATCTACAGCCCAAATATGAAACAGCATCAACTAAATCCCTTTATAATAGCATTAAGCATATATTAAAGAAAGAGCATGCTGACATAAAAATGCTTTTCTAATTAAATGGGCTATTGTTGGAGGAAAGCAGAATATTACACATATGACATGTCAATTTATTCTTTCTTTTTTCTAAGAAGCTCTTAGCACCAAGAGCAACACCTTTTATTCCCTGCTGTACTCCTCTCTGCTATTCAGTCAACAGGGCTTCTTGCCTGTAGAATTACCAGCCCACTTCTGAGTGAGCCATCTCTATTTGGAGAGAAGAAAGAAGTAATACAACAGAGTGTTCTAATCCCATTAGTGCTTTGACCATTCCTTCATTCTTTGCTTCTCTTTCTTGACAGACAAAGAACTACAAACCAAGACAAATCTTTGAGTTTCTCTTCAGGTTAAAAAAATGCTGTTGTTATTTTACTTGGACTATTTGAAGTTCTAATAATCTTAAATGCTCTATTAAAAGCTTCCTGTTGAACCCCAAGATGCAAGGTTTATATTGCTCTACTAGAGATGGCCCTAACAGCCACCAAAAGAAAACCCCCAAGAAAACGATTATTGCACTGGAAGTGCTAAAGGATTCCAAACTGCTAGAAAATGTATGTAACAATTTCTTTCTACACCTAAACAAAAATGAAGAAAGGAACCAGTTGTACATTTCTTTCATATAAAACTCAGCAGGAAAGGACAAGGAGTAGGACTGAAATTACCTTTCCAGTGGTGGTGTCAGATATATTACATCACAACCTTGTCCTCTTAAGCGGACAAAAAGCTTCATGTTATAAAAGAGCTCCCAAACAACACTAATGGTATTGCTAGATTGTGCAAATTCATGAAGCTGAGTACTTTGGAAACTAAGGACTAGACCAAATTACAAAGCCCTTAACTCTCCACTGAATCATAATAAAAATATCAATTATTACAGATTACTATGGTTAGAAAAAGTAAAATTTTAATTCTCCTTTACATTTTGTTTTCACCTTCCTTAGATTTGAACTTCAAAACTGTCTTTACCAATAACTTCAAAAGTATCAAATGCTTAATTGCATGATTTTAACAGCCCACATGACAATGCTCAGGTACCACACAGGTTACTTTTCTAAAATATCATATCTATTGATAATAAGTTACGATTCTATGAAAGTATCTGTTTTGCAGAGATCAAGATACGTATCTCCCACTGCCTGTGTGAATTTAACTGTACAACCACGCTGAGAAAATTGTAACTGAATCTATCATACCTCTCAACAAGGCTACTAAACCAAACAGTTAAAAGCTAAAACCCAGCACAACTTAGGCTGCCTGAACAGCACAGTTTTGCCCTTTATGCTTGTGTGTATGCTCAACATACTTTTTACATTTCATTATTATGTATATAATTTTTCCATGGGACTATAGTCTCATTCAAAGTTCAGGAAGAATAACAATCATGGCTTTTCAACACTGTCTTTTATCTTCAGCGTTGGGTTTTCCTCATTTGCTCTATGCAATTCAAATCTTGCCAAGAATTAAAAAAAAAAAAAAAAAAGTCTCATGGGCTTATCTTCTGTGGTGCTGACTTCTATAACAGCAGTGCGAGTATGTGGAACTTCATCAAAAGATATGTATGAAATATGGAGGAGAAAATACCTCCAAGTTATATATAAGGAATTTGAGGCAAAGCAATATGAAATACAATGTCTACCAGTCAAAGCAAAAATGTAAAATATTCTCAGTCGTGCAATGCCTTAGGCTAGGTTTTTTCAGCAGTTCTGAGATACTAGGTGTGAAAAGAAATGGCAAGAAAATAACATCCTTATATTAAAACAGAACAAAACCTTCAGATGTTTCAAATTAGGAAACTGAAAAAGAAGCTCTAGAAACCAGCATTCATCTCTAACAGTTCAGGGGCACTGCTTTTCACCCCCAAATGTCTAAAGCTAATTAAGAATTGGACCCGGTTTTCTCAGCTGAGACTCCAGTAACTCAGCAGAGGAGCACTGTTTCCTCACCTGCAGGTCCCTGTTTCTTCACAATGGTAAAGCATTTACACTGCTCAGGCACAGTTTGAGAGCCTCAGGTGGGAGACTGGGCTCTAAAAAGAAGGAGTGGTGGAATGGACAACACTAAAATGTGTGAACAACCTCCAAAAGGTAATTCAGCTTCATAAACAAAGACCTGCTGTATACAGCATCCACTCCAGCTACTCCATCCTCATAGCTGTTGCTGGACAAAATAATATGCAAACAGGTATCTGAAGACTGTATAAACAAGTTCTAAGATATAAATACTTCAGTTGTGGAGGGTGGTGGAAATATCAGATGCAAATGAGGAAACAAAATCAAAAAATGCAAGTCACCCTATGCAGCTACACTGATTTGCTTTATTTGCCCATAATAAAAGGGCTCTGAGATTTAATCAGAGATCACAGAATCATTTAGATTGGAAAAGACCTTCAAGATTATTGAGTCCAGCCATTAACTGTCAGGCCCATCATTAAATAACCTTCCTAAGGACCACATCTACATGTGGTTTAAATCCTTCAGTGAGAGTTGACTCCACCACTTTCATAAGCAGCCCTTTTGGTAAAGAAATTTTTCCCAATATCCAAACTAAACCTCCCCTGGCTCAACTTGAGGCCATTTCCTTTTGTCCTGTGGCTTATTACTTGGGAGAAGAGACTGACACCCACAAAGTGTTTAAGCCAAAATGTTTTCCATGTTTTAATGTGCAGCTGGAGAAAAGGGTATGAAAATAATGATCATCTTCTCTATATCAATTCATGTTGTCTCTTATCTGCAGGCTCAGAAAACTGAGTGAAACTGAGAGGCACATGCAGTTCAGAAAACAAAAGCAAAAGTGGTGAAAATGCTTTACCTCACACGTAAATAGCAGGTTTCTGCATCTTTCAACAGACACACAAACAAACACACCCAAAGGTATTTCCAAGAAGAAAACACAAGGCATTCCTCCAATGCTAAGAGATTTATCATCTGTCAAAGCTCCTTTTTAAAAGCATAGAAACAGAAAGTCTGGTAAAATCAATAGTTGCAGAGCGCTTTAAGCAAAGGCAAAAAAATATTTTCTTGTTCCTAAGAAATGGCTGTAATAGTTCTCCTACATTTCCCAAAACTCAAGTCGGAGAAAAGGCTGGAAAAAGTTCAGTAGAAATGAACTGAATGGAATCCAACACCAATATGAGCAATTAGAGTAGAGCAATAAAATACAGCAAAACGCAATGTGCAAACTTATACTAAGTCTTAACAATGCTCTGCTAGAAACAGTCTTGCAGGCTATCTGTATGTAAATTCATTATTCTTTATAAGACATGGACACGAAACTTGTTACTGCAACAGATGTACAGCTACAATGAATTTACAAAAGTTATCCCAACGCTGGGATGATTTTAGGACCAGCCTACAAACGATGAAAGTATTCCCTTCTCAGTTCTTTAAATCAACACCTAGCTGTTACTTATGCAGAACACAGTGAAATAAACTGCCTTTTCCATACATTTTGTCACAAAGTACACTACAAAGGCCGATTAATCAAAATGTTAATATACTTACAGAGTTTTTTAAGCAATCATCATCCACATCGAAGTTTGATGTATCAGTAGGGCTGCTGACTTCTGGGATGTAAGGTGCCTCACAGTTCCTAATGTTGTCCCAGTCAATCCCAGCAAAAAATGGATGGTTCTTAAAGTCTTCTATTCCATTTTGTCCAAGTCGATGCTCTCTGCTACAAATGAGCCTTCGGATGAGGTCCTTTGCACTTTCAGAGACATCTGTCACTTGAGCAGGAAACTGAAACCTCTCCTTAAAGATTAAAATAAGAGGAAATAGTTTATTACCAAGAAAAAGTTGGAAAAATTACCTTCTTACTGAAAATCATTATACAGAAAAAGAAATGTGCAAATAATCCAGCTCTGAAATACATGCAGTAAGGTTTCAAGAAAAGACTTATGCTAAGGATAGAAACTATTAAGATTTTTTGTCTTCTAGTTTTTCTCCTTTATTTTAATTTCTCTTACACTACAGTTGTTGAATTCTACAGCTAGCTGCATGTAGAACATTTTAGAACTTTCTGCGTAAGCCAAGGAATGGGTTCACCAGAAGAAAGAAACACAACAGGATTGATGTCATGTAGCCAAGACAGACTCCACAGAGTGAATTAACATCTATGTTTCCAAACCCAGATTTTAAGTTTTAGTCTTATCCCAAAGCAAAGTCATCTGCAATCTTTAACCATTAACTCGCTACATGAAAACATATATTTTGCTTTACATTTATGAACACTTAACATAATTAGTACATAAAAACTTATTTTTAAACACGTGCTCAAGTTACCCCATTATTAAAAATTAGCTTAGAGACAGACAGAAAGTGCACTAACTTTGTGGTTCATTATTTTCCCATAGGTCTCCACCAAGGACTCAGCATAAAAGGGCGTTTCTCCATAAAGCATTTCATACATGCAAACGCCCAGGGACCACCAGTCACACTCGGGCCCATACTTCCCTTTTCCATCTTCCATAGCCTGCAAGATTTCTGGAGAGATGTAGTCTGGTGTTCCAACTGCCACTGAAGATTGGACCTGGAGAAATTACATTTTTGGGATTAAAATCAACTTTCATCATTACAGACACTGTGGTACTGTTCCCATGTATATATAAATTTAGCCCAGCATTCCTGTCATGATAGAACAACTACCCACAAGCAAAAGCTTCTAAATTCATAAAGAAATACTTAAGCATCAAAGGCACTGCATTAATAGGCATCCCAATAATATACTTTTGCTAAACTGTTATCAATATTTAAAAACAGATAAAGGACAAACCCGTCAATTGTCAGGATTAGAGCCAGTAAGCAATTATAGATTTGGTAATCACATATATTAGGTCAAATGCTTTGTAACCCCCGGGACATGATCAAACATACTGGAATTACATTCTAGTCACACTTCCTATATACTGTGCAAATTTTAATGTACTAGAAGAACATCATCACATTTCAGTATCTCATCCTGCTCATACTAAAGCTTACATTTTCAATAAAGATTAGAGCTCCAAGCTTAAATCGAGAGATTCATAGTTCATAAACACCTACTTGGCACTGAGAGCACAGCTTCTCTATATTTATTCATGAATTGACTGTATGCCGAAAGGTTTTTAATATACTGCAAATCCAAGCAGCCTGCAGTTGTATTTTCAATAAAATTATATACCAGTTTCAATACAGTTATATGCCAATACCCTTTACATCCCAATTCCTCTGCCATAAGGCACCTTTTCCCTTTATCAGCACACATTTTGTGGCAATCAATGGACTGAACAAAAAATATTTAGGAATGCATCGTATCATTCTAATTTACCGTTCCATCTTCCATCAGTTTCAGACAAGAACCAAAATCTGCTAATCGAATATGTCCATTCATATCCATCAAGATGTTGTCTGGTTTTATATCCCTGCAATTAAACAAATTCCAGGATTAGTACAAAATGTATTGCATCAGTTGTATTCCAAGTATTAACTCTGCAATAGTATTTTCATTCAAAACCAGGAACCTGTCAGTACACAGGAGACAGTCACTCATCATATAGTGAAATTTGCACTAGAGACATTTCATGACAGGGGCTGTAGATCAGTCAAATCCTACAATGTTTCTTAATTTTAGTAAGAATTCTGTAGTTAAATTCCTCTCATGTCTCAAGGGTAGACAGGAGAATATACTTGCTCTGAGCTTTTGCATACAAAACTTTTAAATCATCTGAAGCATTTTAGTGAAATGCTCTCAAGTGGAAGATGCATACTTATACTAGAGCTGGAAAACAACTCCTAGATTTTTCAGCAGAACAAAGGCCAATGAAGTCCTGAAATAGTCAAAGCACTTTTAGATTTACTGTCTTTCATTGACATTCTTCTCTCACATGCATCTCAGTTGACTATGTACATCTGTCATACTTCTGCTGATGTGACCATTGTACACACTCCTGCAGCTCTGCCTGGCCAAACTCTGGCTGCCTCATTCAGGTCATGATGCAGATGGAACTACCCTTCTAAGCAGGCAACATAATAAATACTCCTTATATTGTAAACTTGAGCTTTTTTTTGTCTCAGGCTTTTCTCCTAAGTGTACTGAAATACAGGTAGAGTGTATGCTCCCAGTATGCAGCTGACTAGGACAAAAGCTCTCAGTTATCAGAGGGAGATTTGTTGTTCAACTTGTAAACTAGGTTCAAATGTTGAAATTTCTTTTCAATTAAGTATAGGTATTAGAAATACACATCAAGCTACATTTAAAAAATATGACATTATTTGATTCTTACACTATCCTTATCTATTATATTCAAAACATAAATTATAACTGTATGAATACAGGTCTACAAATATTTTCTCAGCAAACGATTTTAAGCTATAAGAATAAATCTCCAAAAATAAACGAAAAACAAGTGAAGTCCTCACTTTGCCTCATTCCCCAAACAACTCATAAAATGAACATCACTGATTGCTTTGCAGACAAATCTCAAAATATTCACAAGCTAAAACGTTTGCATTGCACCTGAGAGCAAATTTTGTTATTTGGGTTTTGGTGTTTTATTTTGTTGGTTTTTTTTTTCCCCAACTAGAAATTGAGTTATAGACAAGGCTTACTGATAATTTACAATGGAAGAAAAATTAGAACCACACCTTAAACAACATTATAGAAGCTATGGCATAAAGGTATCATAATGTTACACACTCGGTGACAATTAATACAGTAACAATTTGTTGTTTGGAAGAAAAGTACTTCCTGAATTTGTGTTACTTAATGACAAGAGGCAGGCCCATGCTGAAAACAAACTTCAAGCACCTTTCAAATACATAGAAATATTTACAAAGTAGAAAGCAAACACTGCAAGAAATCATTCTTTCACAACTTGCAACTGAGCATAAACACAATTCTTTACTAAGTAAATCAGAAGGAATAACCAAGTCCATTCTCATAAGGCCATTCTTCCACTTGATTTTTGCTGACACTGAATTTGCCAAAGAATTGCAACCTCCAGACTGAGATAGTTTTGTTTGGTTTGCATTCACCCACCAAAAACATTCCTTAAACACGCTTCTAAATAAAAACAAACACATGCCATCGAGACTGCTGGAATTATAACTTCAGTTTAACACTGCAAAACCATGCACCTAAAATCCAGTTCCTCCTCGAAGCTGGACCTAGTTCAAGCTAAACAAAAACATGAGTCACCCTTGAGGCTTCATTTATCCATGTTCTATCTTTTAATATATTCCCAAGAGAAATAATAATAACATTAATAATCATCATCATCCCAACCTCTCCCATTCAATCTCACAAAACAGCAAGAAAACATGAAACATCTCATTGTGTTGTCAACATCATGCAAAACCAAACCTGCAAACAAAACTGAATGCACTTGAAGGAACAATGATTTCTTGCAGAGTGGCACCTGTAATGCTCAGTAATAACTTCATAAAAATAGTTTTTACAGTTAAGAAGAAAAGACCAACTTAATAAATACAAATTCTTTTCAGCTCTTTTAACAGAAGCTATGGGCTATGAACAACTGTTCTGAATTCTGAACCACATTAATAAAGGACAGTTTGAAAGGCAAGAATTTCTGGTACCTGCAAAGCAGAGTAGGCTATAAGCAAAGGGAAAGAAAATTATGAGCCCCAGAGGGGAACAAGGAACGGGAGTAATTAGTGCCAGTGTAACTGAAGAGTGCAAAGGTGGTGATTATGGGAAAAAAGAATGTCTTAAACCCTGCATCTCTACTGATCCTGCAGCAGTTAGATTGCATTAGTATGATGAGTTTTGTTGCAGGTTTTGTTTTGAATGACATTTGTTTACTCACTTTGGTGATCAGAACTGATCTACTGTTCAAAAGAGAATACAGTAATCTTTCTTCACATTCACTTCACCTTCCCCAGCTTATTCACTGTATGGACTGGTTCCTTCTACTTCCATCTCAACTACATTTTTATTCCTGTATCTCCTAGACTCACCTCAAAAGCTGAGATGTCCAATCCTCCACAGCCTATCAACCCCAAATTTCCTCCTCTTCTATTTCCTTCTTTCTCTCTCAGCCTCTTCACTCCCAAGTCCTCATCTCCCTGCTTGTTCAAATTTAACTAATCTTTCTTTTTATCCTGTTTCAACTCTCAGCAGTCACTATTTACTCACAGTCCTGTTCCCACTGGCTTCGTATTCTTGTGATACAGGACAATTATCCTCTTTCCTCATGTCCAGTTCCTGTCCCATTTGCATAGCAATCTTCTTTGGCAACAAAAGGAGAACTATCAGTAACAGAGACACTCCACACTGTCTCTAGTGTCTGTTTATCAGCATCTCCCCAAATTCCTTCAATATTACAGCCCTGAAGCAGTGCAAAGCTACAGCAGAAGAAAACTAAAAAGTATTTAGGGATCAAACTTTGCACACAGTTGTTTGGAACTCATAACAACTGGAATATTGGGGGAACAATTATAACCTGAAAATATCTAGGTGGGGGGGCAGAGGAATGAAAATACATCGGTGACTCATGGAGGATTCTCTCCTGAATTTCAAGTCTCCACATCCCACAGCAGAGGATTTTCTCATTGGTTTTGTGGTAATTATTTTATTAATTGAAAATCTATATAAGAAAAGCAATCCATGCTTCTTGATCTTGTTTCTGGAAAGAGGAACACTTATTGCTTCAGGCAAATACTGAGGGAGGAAAATTCCAGACCAAGGAACTAAAATCTGGCAAAATTAATGAGCAAATAATGAAAAGTTATATGGTTTGGTGAATAGACCACTGGGCTGAATCTCTGTAGATAAGTTACCAGGTGATTGTGGGCAGACCATTTAAACATCACTCAACAAGAACCATGGTGCTCAGTCAAGCAACTCTGGCTAGAAGGCTGTGGAGCCCAAATACCCTGCTAACTCTGTATTTAGTTCACTGCAATAAAAGAAAAAGGTCAGCTCACTTGAAATATGAAATACTAATTCACTTTCAAGAAATATAATCATTTGAAAGGTATTTTATGAGCCAGATTTATAGTAGGAGCAAGTACTGAATCAGGACAATTGCTCTGACACCACTATGCTCTCTCGAGACCCTGAGCCTGACCAAGTCCCAGACAGTTCAGCCCTACTCTGACAGCAGCTTCTGGGGGAAGCTCAGTGTGCAAGGGCTGCAGGTTGCCAGAGCTCAACACAAGCCAAATTAGTACAAATTCTTCAAATATGCTCCACGCTGAATTAAGGGAACACAGGAACTCAACATATCCAAAGAAACTTTTTTTTTCAATGAGTGATTTAACAGCATGAAAGGGACTAGAAATCTGGACCAAATAAACTTCTCTAGAAACACATATGTCCATTTAAACTTTGACTCCAACAGAGTGTCCAGGAGCAACTTCTACTTTTCTGAGCTTTGTTGGCCTTGACTGTAGGAGAAAATCAGGACTGCACAGCAGCTTTGCTGCTGTTTTCTGGAGAATGCAATAGGAATAAACAGTGTGTAACACTGAACACTTCATTTGCACCAAAAAAGAGTGTGAAGGCTAAAGAAAAAAAAAAGAAAAATCTCTAATGAATCCTTCCTTATAATGCTTCTTAGTTTAATTTGGGGAGCCGTTCTTCAGATTGGCATGTTTACCCAGATGACTTCACTCACCTCTCTTTAAAACCGTTTACTTTCTTAAGCTGTAATTAAAACCCAAACATTTTACATACTAACTGTGTTAACATAAACAATATTCTGAAATAGGACTACAGCAGATGCCTGGATTATTGCCATTTATTTTGATTTCTCTGTTAATGAACCAGAGTAGAATTTCATTTATTCAGTAAGACTCAAGAAAAAGTATTCCCTCTGAGACATGCTAAATCCATAGCACATTCCAGCTGTAAAATAAACTAAAAAAGAATTTTTAATACATGTGAATGTATTTGTTTCCCTGGATTCATTTCTGATACTAAAGGAAACTTAAGGAACCGTGAGGTCTTACATATTGAAATTTGGACTAGAAAACTCCCTTAAGTTCCTTACAACTTGAATTATCTGATCCTCTTATGGTTTCAAAGCATACAGGTTCCTGAGGTTCATCTATGTCATTCCTTGAATCATTGGATCAATGCAGTTCTGTTACTTGCAAGACCACATGAATCTCCTCACGTCTACAGAACAGGAAGCAGCAGATTTAGAAGAATCTTAACTTAATTTTGTTTTGACGGCAGCTTCACGGAGGAGGGGGCCAGATAAACAAAATGGAAGATACATCAAAAAGAGGGACAATTATTTCAAGAACTGTATCAGAATGATTGAGCAGCAGCTGTGTTAAACACTACCAAAGACTTTGCCAGTGGATCAACCCACAGGCTTATATCTTCTACGTTTGTGAGATAAAATCCCTAGTGGCATTAAAGATTTTGTGACCAGTAGGGATCCCTCTTCTCGGT